GGGGGACACTCAACATTTACAAAATCATAAAATGAAATTCCTGCCAAGACTGCATGACCACCCAAAGAATAATTCTGTAATATTTACTTAAGAGCAATTTAGAGGGGAGGGATACTGACTTTTTACATAAGAAATTTTATGTAAGAGTAGACGTCATTAAACCTTTGACAGGCTACCATTTTGAATAGAGAAGAGATAGCGAACTCTAGTTTTCAACATTCTTTAAGTTTTTGTAAACACGTCAAAATGAGGTGTGACATGAAGGGGGTTAACTCTTGCGTTTCCACCTAAAATCCCCCATTTTTGGGAGACACTCAAAATGTTTAAAATCATAAAATGAAACTCCCTGCTAAATTTTCACGACCACGAAAATTATACATATCTCTGGATATTTACTTAGAAAAATATTGGATGGGGGGGTCTTGAATTTATATTTACCCTGTATATGAATTTTAACAGATGATGTTTTTTTGACTTCTGGGGGGATTAAAACGAAAAAGTAAATCGGTCCCGGGTCCAGTTCTTACCATTAGACTTACGGCAATAGCTTATTCCCTATATGGGAAATTAGTTAAAACTAAAAAAAAAATAGTATACAGGGTGAATCAGATATCCCGTGAATATACTTTTATTATTCCCCCTAAATCACACACGAATAAACCATTTAAAATACTTAGAACATGATCCAAGCACAGGGTGTTACAGAAATGAAGGTAATGGATTCGAATCTCGAAATTTCCTCGAAATTATGTCAACCTATATCACATTGTACGTTTTTAGAAAGGCCTTGCTTATAGTAACATTTTGGTGATAACAGAACTCAATTATCTCAATTCGTTTCAAAATAGCGGCAAATTTTGTGTATTTTTCGCGTATTGACGAATACCCAGTATTTTCAAAACTACTAAACATGTTTCCGTTCTGATTGAAAATTCGTAATTCTACTTATCACAGCTTTACAATGATGTGTCACATGTAATAATTTTCAAAGTTATAATTAATTTTTTACCAAAATTATATTTTTTGTAATGTTGGTAGCCCTGTAAATGAAAAAAAAAAACTATGTCAAATAGCATATCATTTAAGCCTCTTGTCAAGATGAACAACTTTCCAATTTACACCTACTGTCTATTTCTTTTAGTATTTGAGTAATAAACCAAAAACTAAATTTTCTCTTTATGAAATGGATGTTACAGTACTTTCAAAAGTCTAAACACTTTTAAATAAGTTTGGTATTATTTGGTAATGCTATTAACATCTATATGGGACAATTTAGTTTTTGGATTATTATTAAAATACAAAAAGAAATAGACAGTAGGAACGGAAACATGTTTAGCGGTTTCGAAAATACTTTGTATTACGTCAATACCGCGAAAAATTCACAAAAATTGCCGCGATTTTGAAACGAATTGAGATAATTGGGTTCTGTTTTTACCAAAATGTTACTCTAAGCAAGGTCTTTGTAAAAATGTACAATGTGATAGGGGTTCACATAAGGACATTTCGAGATTCGAATACGTGACCTTCATTTCTGGAACACCCTGTGCTTAAATCGTGTTCAAAGTATTTTAAATGAGAAATAAAAATAAAAATACCAAACTTTTTTAATTCGTATGAGATTTAGGGAGAATTAATTTCATTTCGCGTTTCTAGGTAAAAGTTACTCTCGTAAAAAGTATGTGCAGGGTGGGTTCACCCTGTAGAATCACACTGAAGTTAAGATTCATTCAACTTATTTTCATTGAGGAAAACTGCACCTTGTCCACATGACCTATTTCAATATCCAAAGTCAATAGGAAGTAAAAATGGAGATAACATTGAAAGTGGAACTTAAAGAGTTACTTCTTAAAAGTCATACACCTCGAAATGTCAGTCATTCACAATATTACAGTTGCAAATTGTATTACTTTTTAAATTATGAACCAGCGCTTCTAATCTTACAACTAAATTACGCAAACAGAGTTATGTCTGGGTTTTACGATTAGGGGAACAAAAAATGGTAATGGACTAGACACCAGTGACCAGTGACCACTGACCAGTGATTCGCAAGGTTGGTAACATCGTGGCCTCGGTGTGGCGATTCTCTTGACCCACATATGGCAGTGCGGCGTAAACTTTGCACACTCCCGGCAGTCGGCGACGAACAGTATGTAGTGTAGAGTGTGAGATGGACTCAATAACTCAATTCTGATCCGACACATTACACGGACAACTGTTCTAGGATATGATCATATCACATACAGTCATGACTTCTACTAATTGATAATGTACTGTAGTTGAAAAAAAAACCATTACTATTTTATTTTTTCGGATCAGATCAGATGGACTGAGTATACCAATATCATAAAACGAGGAATTAAAAAAAAATAACAATAAATTATTAAATGGCCCCATTTTAAGTTGCTATTAATTTTTATGTATGGTAAAAAATATCCTCTTTTTTATCTTGACGCATTACAAAATTGGTGACCTCTCTCACTGTTCTAATTAGATTTAAAACTAATGTTATCTTATATCAACGATTCTGTTATAACTATTTTGGGATTGTCCCCAAATAGCAATTAGTTAATTAACTAATCAACTCTTTACATCATTGACGGTCAACTGAGTGCGTATTTGAAGTTGAATATGATTTATGGACGAGTGTGGGTAGGTGTAAGATTATGTGTAGATGTTTTACTGACTAATAATCAGCGTTTCCATTAACAGTCCAATGATCAAGGACAACTGTTTCTATTTTCGAAGAGTCCGGCGAGCATGTAGGTACAACATTTTAGCGTGCAATGAACAAAGCTGCTATTTCTTTGGTTTATCCTAATTTATCCGTTCCACAAAAAACATGTTAACCGAACGAATTTGTGTACTGAAATGAAATCAACCAATATATTTAATCTCCATCCTATAAGTTATAGCTTTGAATGATGTATGATCTGCAAAAACAACATTTTCTTCTCTACAGATGTTTTGATAGATAATTTACATAACGCTGGTGAAGAGTAGATAAGCCATATGAGAACATGAGTCTGATTTTGCCAGACAAACAGTTTTTTTCACTTGTTGATAATCACAAGGCTACAGAGTGGTGATAAGGTGGGCTGCCAGATGCTGATAGCTGAAAATACAGTGTGTTGCAGAACTTGCTACCAGGCAGATGGTGCCACATGTGTACAACTGTACATATGTGTATAATGTATACCCCCTTGGCATTTGTGGTCATTTAAAAATAATCCACCTTTGTACTGTACATTATAAATTCAGATACAATCTACAGTATTTGCTGTACATTGTTTACTGTTGGTATACATTGTGACAATCTGGATTTTTGTTTCAGAATTGTTACTACACTTTACGCCAGGTTTCCTTACTGATTGTAAGTACACTACTATGAATCATTGAATTCTTGATGAGTCTTGATGCGTTCGAAACATTCAGGTAGAAGAGTTGAAGAGTTAACTACTGGGGTAATCTATTTTCTGTTATACTAATAGGGATACTACAGCTGGGACAGGGGTAGAGGATTTTAATCCATACTACACGACTAGACAAAACCAAACCTCCTCAAAATCTAACATCACTTTATGTTTAGATTTTCACAAAATATGGCTGCTAAAAACTAATATATTTTTGCATGAAGTGGCATTTTTCGAACTTTTCAAAACCTGAATACACAATTGGCTTCAAAACAAAAATTACAACATGATAACCAATAACATAACCAAAGATGGAGACATCAATATGTGTACGACAATATGGTATTTACAAAATTAACTGCACTGATTGTGAACATTCTACATTGGTCAGGCAGGAAGTATGTTTGGATCTAGATTTAAAGCTCTCAAAAGGAAAAATCAAACATCCATGAAGTTAGATTTTGTCGAACATCTCTTATCAACCAGCCACGATTACAAAAATTTAACTAATAAAATGAAAATTCTTTAAAGTTCTAAACAATGGAAACAGAATGGATTCGACAGAAGAATACATTAAATATAAATAAAACCAGAAAAATTCTAATCAAATTATACATAACCAAACTCCTTCAAGAAACCTAATTATTTGAACAAAAAATTTCAATCAGATAGGTATTATGTTTTATCTATGATATTACTTAATTTCAAAATTTCCAAATCCAGAACCTTTAAGGAATCACCTGTAAATTAAAATTATATTCACACAAAATGAACAAAGTTAAGTATTTGACTATTTATTAAAGTTGAAAATGGACTAAGTCCGAAAAACGTCACTTCATTAATAAATATTAATTTCTAGGTGCTCAGTGGTTTTTTAATTTACTACCTTAATATTACTTTAGTTAATGATCTGTCAAAAAATATCTAACCTGTATGGGTTAACAAAGTGAACAGATTATCTGCATACAATAATAAACTTTTAAAACAAATAATGTATGAATTGAAACTACATAGACGACACAATTTAAAGACAAACTCGAAAGCAGTTTTATAGTTTTTAGATGGTTGATTCTTAATTTATAACCTCACCGGCACAAAAATGCATTCCTAGAAGTGGAAAGAATCGTTAGAATTAAAACCAGAGCTTTGTGGGACGGTGACTTACGCTTTAAGTTATTAGGCGTTCTACAAGAGATGATAGTTAATTTCTTCCTGTTTTATCACATTTATATTTGATTCACTACTAATATTCTGATAGTTCAACTAAGTTGTTCTTTATCAGCGCCAATGCGGTTTATCAGTTATGACGTGTTTTAAAATGTTATTTATGAGATGAATAAATGCATTTTAACTTATTTTCCTCTAGGGAAGAAGCATTAACTGGCATGTTAGTGGTAATTAAGACCAAGGTCTAAACTATTCTCATTACTTATTTCGTTCCTCTCAGGTAAAGTCCTGGCTAGAGATCACGGAGGTCACTAAACTACAGTAATCTCGTAAAGATTTCCCAAATTCTAACTTCGTATTCTAAATACTACTTGGTTATATGCTGAGGTTATATATGAGAAATATGAATATGATATAAACAAATAACAGTACAAATAGTTTATAAGGTCATTTTTATAAAAAATATTGTACAGATGTGATATGTTGTAATTCAATGACTGTGTTGGTGTCCGTCCACGGTTCGTAAGTATACATTGTTCTTGGAGGAAACGCGTTCCTGTAGTTTGGGAGGCGGAAAACGAATCTCCTGACGATCCTCCACCCTTCGACGACGAAGACACTGACAGCAGATCAGATATAGCCAGATCTTGATACATACGATCCCACAGGAGACTAGGAACAACGCACCGTACACCACCAGGAACAAGGTCCATTCTCTCAGCGTCGCCATCACGGCATCCTGCAACAAGCAACAGTCAAACAACTACAGAAAGAGGTACCAGGAGACCAGGAACAAGGTCCGTTCTCTCATCTTCTCCTTCACTGTATTCTGCAACAAGCAACAGTCAACTACAGACAACAGGTACTAGGAGACCAGGAACAAGGTCCGTTCTCTTAGCGTCCCCATCACGGCATCCTGCAACAAGCAACAGTCAAACAAATACAGACAACAGGTACCAGGAGACCAGGAACAAGGTCCGTTCTCTCAGCGTCCCCATCACGGCATCCTGCAACAAGCAACAGTCAAACAAATACAGACAACAGGTACCAGGAGACCAGGAACAAGGTCCGTTCTCTCAGCGTCCCCATCACGGCATCCTGCAACAAGCAACAGTCAAACAAATACAGACAACAGGTATCAGGAGACCAGGAACAAGGTCCGTTCTCTCAGCGTCGCCATCACGGCATCCTGCAACAAGCAACAGTCAAACAAATACAGACAACAGGTACCAGGAGACCAGGAACAAGGTCCGTTCTCTCATCTTCTCCTTCACTGTATTCTGCAACAAGCAACAGTCAACTACAGACAACAGGTACTAGGAGACCAGGAACAAGGTCCGTTCTCTCAGCGTCGCCATCACGGCATCCTGCAACAAGCAACAGTCAAACAAATACAGACAACAGGTACCAGGAGACCAGGAACAAGGTCCGTTCTCTCAGCGTCCCCATCACGGCATCCTGCAACAAGCAACAGTCAAACAAATACAGACAACAGGTACCAGGAGACCAGGAACAAGGTCCGTTCTCTCAGCGTCCCCATCACGGCATCCTGCAACAAGCAACAGTCAAACAAATACAGACAACAGGTATCAGGAGACCAGGAACAAGGTCCGTTCTCTCAGCGTCGCCATCACGGCATCCTGCAACAAGCAACAGTCAAACAAATACAGACAACAGGTACCAGGAGACCAGGAACAAGGTCCGTTCTCTCAGCGTCACCATCACGGCATCCTGCAACAAGCAACAGTCAAACAAATACAGACAACAGGTATCAGGAGACCAGTAACAAGGTCCGTTCTCTCAGCGTCGCCATCACGGCATCCTGCAACAAGCAACAGTCAAACAACTACAGAAAACGAAAACAGGTACCAGAAGACCAGGAACAAAGTCCGTTCTCTCATCTTCTCCCACACTGCATCCTGCATAAAGCTACAGTCAAGCATCTACAGACAACAGGTACCAGGAGGAACAAGGTCCGTTCTCTCAGCGTCGCCTCGCCATCGCTGCATTCTGCAACAGACCAGTTGTCTCTTTTGCATATAATCTACTTGTAAAAAGTAAGACGATTGATTTGATTTGACTTAGCCTAAAGTTTAACAGCTGATTGAAAGTCAACCCACTGGATTTGTATATTAATCGTTCACTGTATTTGCATTTTCCTAGGAACCATTTCATGGCCTAACTAATATGATGCAAGAACTGAATCATTCATAATTAGTGGCAAAGGAACTGAATTGGCATTGATGAGAAGATTTTATCTCAATAATTCATCGCAGAACTTAGTCCACAAACAGTGCCCCACAGAAGTGTTGAAGGAGATATGCAAGTCTATCAACGATAAGGATGGGTCTGATGAGTCCAAATATGAGTCATTGCTTTGACAATGCTTTAACTGACATCTTTACAAAGTTTAGTTGGTCATTGGATGATTATGTTATACAGTGGCTGTATGTCTTAAGATGTTCAATAAACCATACTGTATTGTTATTTATATGTCCGTCAATGGGGCATGACAATTTATTTCCCATTCATACACACTTACAACCCTTGTAACGTACACAATATTCATAGTCCCTTCAAATTCAACACTCCTTGTTCATATATATACAGTTTGTAACATCAAAGTTGTGACAGCAAAAGGTTCCTCATTTAAAACTTAATGAAGGTTTCTTAAGTAAAATCTCTCGCATTCGTTTAATGGTAATGGTTCTAATACTCTGGACATCTTGTTATTGAATTTTCTTTGTTGCTGTTAAAACTAGACCGCTTTGTACTTGGACAAAGATCGATGCGCATTATATTAACTACTAGGCCACTTTTACTTGTTATCATCTTTTTACTACGACCTTAACATACTTCTAAACTTGAATGAATATAGCAACGCCCCTTCAATGCATTGTTCTATTGAAGGTTACAGATTAGCACACGGTGGTAGCATTATCTCAAAGGTTATTTAGTACAGTATGTTTATCGCTATTACGTAACATATGGGATTAGGTTTTGCAAATGGATCGAGTTTATCTAGTAATTGATGACACTTACTAATAGTTATATTTGTGAATTGAGATATAATAATATTTGGCAAGAAGTTCGTAAAATGTTACAAAATGTACTATGCTATTCATAATATGTAGAATCGTTATATTAAGCGTATTTTATAAGATAATTACTTAGGAGAGAAATAAACTACGACTGTGGAACTCCGTCCATAAATGAAGAAGGACGTAAAATAAGTTTACTTAATCGTTCCACAATCGTAGTTTATTTTTCTCCTTTTTAATTGTTCGTTAAATATACCAACGACACACTGTAATTGTTTAAATATAGTATAACAGTATTGGATGATTACGTGCCGGAAGCGACCGTGCCAGAAGCGACCCAGCCAAAATCGTGCCAGAAGCGACCCAGCCAAAATCGTGCCAGAAGCGACCCTGGTAGTAGCGTGAGTGCCACTAGCGACCCATTGTTTGATAAAGGATTTTACAATGTTTTGTTCAAATCGGATTAACAAAAAACAAATCTTACTGAATCTATAGATGGTCGTATTTGGATTTGATACTAGTTTTACTGAATACCACCAACAATAAATTAAGTAATTTAAGCAAATTGATCAGCAATAACTAGCCGTATTTTTAAAACTATATGTGACTTATCTTTGTGAACTATATTAGTCATACACTTTTATCAAAAGTTAATGGTTATTTTACATTATTGAACTAATTGTAATATTTTCATCCTACTAAAAAAAAAATCACGTACGCCATTTTATGTTATCCGTCCAGACTTTATCCAATATAAATACGAGACATAGGATACTTAAATTATGTCATTATTTGATATATAATTTATTACCTTGTCTCGAAGATGTTGTAGTAGGAAGCCAGCGCACGAGCCGAGGAAACTAAAAATTATCAAGAGGAAAACATTTTCTAACCTAAGTTTTGAAAGTGGATCAACATGGCCGCATCTGATCAGCTGTGAACTGTGAACTTCAGTGTTACCAACACAACCAGATTCACTCAAATTATGGCTCAATGTACCCGATCTTCGACCCTCTCTGTCAATAATAAGTACAGTCGCGTCTCGTTGACGGTACAGTCGTCGCCTCTACAAATAGCTCCTTCTCAAACTGTATTCCTCCATTAGCCCTAATATCCACATAGCAAAGTAACTACCACGGTGGTATTCCTGGTAGGGCAATAGATAAAGTTGGTTGGTCCATGCACTATATATATACACATACTGGTAATTGGTATATGGTAGGACCTAGGCGTGGAAAAGTAATGTATAATGTGTGATCTAGTGTATATAAATAGTAGAATACAGTGCAACATTAACAGTGTATGTTGTCAAATCAATGTTTATGCAAAGATAGGCTATTATATACTAGTGATTTTACCATTAAGTGAAAATAGACAATTACTGTATTTATATTGCTGTAAACCCCGAAACGAGTGTTGATGCACGTTCCGTGCTGGTGACGTTTGAGTGCACTGGCGTCAGATACGAATAGCTTTCATGAACAGCTTTTTACTTAAATCGGACAGAACTAATTTTATCAAGTCTTCAGGTGATCCCATGGGAGTATTTTTTAGAGAAATGCTTATGCTGAAGTTTTAATATTACTTGAAGAAATATTTAGTAGGGCCTATAGTACAAAGCAAACAGATCATAATCCTTACCTACATTAATTATTGTTTTTTACTCGATTCTTCCTTAAGAAATGGCACCGGATTAGTCACAAAACATTCTTTAACTAGGCAAGTAAATACGTATACGCTTCTCAACACTTGAAGATACTACGACTACGCTGGTGCAGCGTTTCCCATTCCGTTCAATGCTTGGATTTAACATAACCTAAAAACGTTATGTAATGTTATAAAACGTTATAGTGTGTTTGAAAGACTAAATTATTTATATGCTTTACAATAACTGTAGGAAAATACTTCGCACACTAGTTACACAAATAACTATTGTTGTAAACCATAAAATATTATGTCTATATCCTAAACTCTTATATGAGCAATGTTTGTTTGTATGATTGCTTGCTTGCTCGCACAAAGATCTTGATGACGGCTTCGACGATTTCCTAAAAACTATACCGAGCCATGTCCTGGTCACCCTGTACTATTATATTGTTTTGAGCAAGGCTCAGTGCCCCGGTACTATTATATACAGTAGTTCAAGCTGTGACATTGACATTATTTACAACGAACTATGTCTACAGTTGACGCAAACTCAAGATAAATTAGACATGGACTGACTTAGCCACAAATCATAGATTCCATGTGTGCCGGCAGTGGACAGCGATACCTGTTAACATTACTTGTTACTGTTACACTGATCAAATAAAGTAAACAACAAGATCAGTGTCAGCCACCATCGACAAACATGTTGTCAACCGAGCAGTCATACAGAGACCACTGGCAAGGGAGTTCTCAACAGTCGTTACAATGGTGGAATTCAAATTGATGACGAGCTAGTTGACAAATATACACATTATTGTTTTTCTCTGAGGCATACAATTACATAGATTTCCTGTTATCAACATATTAATTCAGTTATATGGCAAGCTGGTTTATATGTACACGGTTTACGTACATAAAGTTACGTAAAATATTACGTACACGGTTTACTTTGAATAATTTAGATGATTAGTGATATCCAATAGAAGTCAATCAATTATATCAATTATTTAAGATGGAGACGCCACTATGTGCGTATTTTAACCCAAATATGAGTGAAGGATGAGTGTAGGATGAGTGGCACGATCTTGTAGTCTTGTTAGTGACTAAGGCCATAACAAAATCATCAATTTTTACACGATCTCTAGACACAGCTGTTAATTAATAGCCCATACAGCTAATGGCAACTAAGGGTCCTACAGTTCATAGTGGAATCCGAACCACATTTTAACCTTGGTATTAACGAATTATTCTAACTATCAGATAGTCATACTGTGAACACTGAATAGATGGGCAGCTCAGTGGTTAAAGTGCTCCCTAGAAGGTCGCTGGTTCGATCTTGTGAAAAGTCAGTACCTCTTTGATGGTCGAAACTGGTCCCAGCTGTCCTTTATAATTGGTCTTTAAATAAATGGTCTGTACTAAATAAACAGCTGACCTTACCAACAAAGCTAAACAGATCATCTCACTCTATTCTACCCTCTTCGTGCATCCATACTCCAGCTTAAAATACGCACCTCAGAGTAAGAAGCTATCTCAATGAATCGAATCAAAACTTCCAACTACGTTTATTTCTTAACATTGCCAGATAAATTATATTTAGAGCTAGGTGACTGATGTACGTAGATATAATGTTGCACAGTTCTCAAGTTGTTCTCAAGTACCTATACTCGAGTCCATTGACCCCTGCACAGCTATTAGCCGTACTCCGCTGTCCGCAGGGAAGTCTTATACATAGTACAGTAGTTGTTTATATCGTTGGTCTTTGGAGACTGGAGGAAGGAAGGACACAGTTGCACCAGTCCATGGCCGCGCCTCCTACACACGCCTAACCGGTTCCAAGAGGAGAAATTTACCATAAACCCAAAATAAACACACAACCAAGCTTGTTTTGAAGAGGACGTATTTTTAAAGTACCCAGCTGTTCCCGATCAGTAGGCTTTAAATAATTGATCATGGCTAATGAAACACAGCTGGTCTTAAGTCAATGGGTTTGGACCGCTTTCCCTTAAAAGTGTTTGACTTCATTACAAAAATGCCGCTGGCGTACATACGAGCAAAAAAAAAAAAAAATCTACACAGATCATCTCACTCCATTCTACACCCATCCTTCACACAATTGGGTTAAAACACTCACCAAGGTGGCGTCCCCATCTCAATTGATAATAATGATAATGATAAAGTTACAGACCTGACCAAGTTTAAAATAAACCTATTTCCACAGAGAAAAGAAATCCGAGGTATTACTCTGTGGCTGTTTACCAGTCCAATTTCCTTCATTGTTCTACTGGTCTCTCTACTGGTCGAGAAAAATGATTAACTGCTTTAATTTGGAGACTTTTATGTCATATACAGTTTATTTCTTACGTTTATGTAGTATTGCTTCCTTCATGTTTTATAAATAAGATATCAGCTTTTACCTATAGCAATTGTAAGAAACTATACGGAGACCTTTGGCGTAGGTTATAAAGTTGCGGTGTTGCTGATATAAACTTTACAAAGATTATACACGCAAATAACAGGTCAGCACTTACCACAATAGTTGACTGTGTAGAGAAATAGTCAAATAGATGTCCCATTTCTATGTTAAATTTGTAGCCATTTTTAGAATGAATATAACGCGGTTGAATTAAGCAAACGCTATACACCTGTAGAGGTGTATAGTCAATGCTATTACTGATGTCTATTGGAAACCAGACTTTTGACGAATCTCAAGCGAAAATATAACATTGGAATAACGCAAACTATAGCATCTTTAATGTTACATAAATGATCGTGATCAAGTATTAAAAATTAAGAATTAAAATTAATAGTAGACTCTTTGGACGGTTCATTAGACTATAATTGATTTGGCTACATCTAATCCATTCCATATACTGTTGATGTCCAGTATAGTATACAGCAAATCAATCCTACACATCTGTTGCAACCCGTTCAATGGTAGGGGTCTAATGGTTTTATGTTATTTTTGTCGACAACTAACGCGATCTATACATGTTATTGTTCTAAGTATATCTACGTCATAGACAGTATCTTGACATTATCTGGTGTGTTAAGCTTTTATTAATGACCGGTCATTGCATCAGCCAACGGTCCGGGCTTGGGGCGCCGCTAATCATCTGTTCAACAATCAACAAAGCTCAACCAATCAGCTGACGACCCCTTGTTGACACGCCCAGGTGTTTGTTATTTTAACGTTAATGGTGAGGGGATTTCCAGATACCTAATTTGATGTTATGTTTTGATACTATACGATTAATAGACATTCAAAACAATAAGTGTGTCCATAGTCAGAGAAAAAGAGGATATGACCTTAAAAAATTGCAAGAAAACGTTTTATGGTTTTTATTTGGTAGTGTTGGGTCTGCAGAGTGACATACTAAAAGTTGCTAAAAATCGGTCGACAGGAAACCACCTAAAATCACTATTTAAAATGGCGGCGTTACCCATCATTGGCCAAATTTGAAAGAAATATACCACATGCATTATTTTATTCAATTTTTTTAGACATTGACTTGGGACGACCACAGATGTTTATTGGGTGGTTACTACTTTATTTCGATAGGGAACTCATTTTTGGCCGCCATCTTGGACCCACCATATTAGATATAAATAAAAAAAATCAAATGTAGGCCTAATGATAACGTTGTGACACATCATTATAAACTAGATTTTCACGCAAATTTCAATGCCGAAATCCATTTTTAAAATTATGTTTACGTTTTGAAGATATATTCAAATGAAAATTCTCCCCCATACATTTCTTATGGATGTTTCGTACTTTCGTAGATTTTTTAAGACAATTTTTCTTATATCTCCAGTTCTTATCAACGCTTGCAGTTCAGTCTAGCCTTTAAATATTCTGTAATGTAAGGGGCTTTCATTTGGCCTATTGATCATTCAAATCGAACGAGTTAGAGACGAGCTATGATCCCCAAACCAATATTAAATTTAACTTTTTTGAAATCTTTTTTTATTAAAGGATTTGTATCTCACGTTGTTAAATACGTCACAAAGTTCTTTGTGGTCTCAAATTACTCATTTATTGTTTTGCTTTAATTAATAAAATCTGGCAAATTTAAAATTAGCAGAGTGCCTTAATTTAACATAAAATTATTTTTATTTTGAAATTTGTCTTTAGTTAAATGGTATTATGTCACCAATTATAAATAACTCCCAAAACTCATAATGGTGTTAAATAATTCCTCAAAGTATTGACTTTTATTTTAGCTAAAGATTACTTATGGATTGTTTTTTATAATTGGGTATATATGTCTTAAACCAAAGACAAACTTCTAAATAAAAATAATGTAATGTTAAATGAAGGTCCACGAGTCACTTTAGATTAGTCAGATTTTATATAGTGATTAATAAAATTAAAGCCAAACATTTACTAAGTAATTCAAAATCAGAAAGAACTTGGTGACGTATTAACAACTCGAGATAAAAATCTTTTAATAATAAAAGATTTCTAAAAAGTTAAATTTAATATTGTTTTGGAGATTGTAGCTCGTCGCTAACTAGTTCGATTTGAATGATCAATAGGTAAAATAAAAGCCCCTTACATTACAGAATATTTAAAGGCTAGACTGAACTGCAAGCGTTGATAAGAGCTGGAGATATAAGACAAATTATCTTTAAAAATGTTCAAAGTACGAAACGTCCATTAGAAACGTATGGGGGAGAGTTTTCGTTTGAATATACTGTATATTCAAAACGTAGACAGATATTTAAAAACGAATACAGAACATATATTTCGGCATTGAAATCGGCGTGAAAATCTATTTATAAAGATGTGTCACAACGTTATCATTACATTTAATTTTTTTTATTAATATCCAATATGGCGGATCCAATATGGTGGTCCAAAATGAGTTCCCTATCAAAATGAAGTACTATTTACCCCATAAACATCCGTGGTCGTCCCAAGTCAATATCTCAGAAAATTTTGAAAAAAATATGCATGTGGTATATTTTTTTCAAATTTGTCCTATGTTGGGAAAAGACACCATTTTAAATCGTGATCTTAGGAGGTTTCCTGTGGACCGATGTTTGGAAAATTTTAGTATGTCACTCTGCAGACCCAACACTACAAAATAAAACCATAAAATGTTTTCTTGCAATTTTTTTAACGTTCCCTGTGTCAGTTTTTTTAGTTTGCTTGGACTACCAGAGAATTGTTTGATAGACCAATACGACTACATCCATCCTCAACAATGTCATAGTAGCCTACTTAAAACGCTTAGTAAATTAGTCATACTAAAATTTTTAAATTTTTAAAAATTATGATTAATTTATCATATTAAATTTAGTTAAAGAAATTAGGTCTTAAGCTCCACTATAAATGTATTGAATACCAATACTTTTCGATGTATCAAAAATAATATTATTAATTTTTCTAAAATGTGAAACGAATGATTTCTGTATTAATTTTGTAACGGTATTCTTAAATTGATTTTAAATAATATTTAACTCCGAAATAATTCTATTTTGGTGAAGTGTGATATACTTGGTTGATCAGAATGCCTTTTACTCTGTGTTTGGTCGGATACCGATGATTTGCGACCTATCGCTCATCGTGAATTCTGGTACTTAGAAATAATCCTCATGCACGACAGCAAAAATACAAAAATATGCACAGTTATTTTCGTCTCTAGTTGACAAGACTTTGGATTTTATTGATATTAAATCCACAAACAAAAAATATACGGCTATATTTATCAAAATTAGGCTCAAAGAGCAGCCTGTGGGCCCGCCCATCTGCGTCACCGGGGCTGCGTGCTGATAAGGTGATATCTGGACTGATAAGACACTAGGTGATGTCACAAGGTCACTCGGCAGAACACACCCTCCTCACTCCCCAGCCGTCGTCTGCCGAGACAAACAACAGCCCAACAGGGAGGACCATCTCAAAGTGCAACTTTGTAACGCAAAGCTAGGAAACGTAAACAATTTTTTAGAGTTACTGTATTGAAGGCTATGACCTTTGTTTGTTTGTTACAAGTTGTGGAATAGTCTGTGTACAGTCAATGATTGAATATAGTTTTTACAGCGCTAATAATACATGCATAAGTAATGCTGCATGGTGGCAGTATGGGAAATTAACAGCTGTGTCTAGGAATAAGTCGGCCTTTTGTCACTAACAAGACTACAAGATCGCGCCACTCACCCTACACTCATTCATACTTGGCTTAAAATACCTACTTTGTATGGTCGCCATTTCATTGAAAAGTATTAAAGTATTAAGTAATAAATACATTAAAAAGTATTCATTCATACATTATTCATTTCCAGAATTATTTGACCGTAGATAAAGGTTCAAATAATTATGTAAAAAAATAATTCTCTCCTGAAAGGTGCTGCAGTGTTGTATTTTCCTTGATATTGCGTCATAAAAATTAAAAACAAATTAGAGGATGAATAAGAGCACATACAAAATATAACGTATGGCCGATCGGTATTCATTGTTTGATATTGTTTTTATTATACATTATGAGAATTCCCATTTATACGTGTACAATTCACATAATGCAACTCACACTTTACCACCTAACCTACGTAACTAGTGGAAATTTCCATTCGTAAACTGCAATACTACAATTCGTTAGTAAGATTCCACTTGAGTTTCAGAGAACCATTTACGTGCTTATACAGCAAGGCTGATAATGCCAGTGCATGTTCGCTCTTTGCGTCTGTATCTGCAGATGATGTAACTGCTGCCACCATTTGTATCATATATTTTGGATCTGCTTTTCTAAAGGTTAGTTAGTTTCATTATATATTTTTATGTGGTTCATTAAGGTATTTACCCTTGAAACACGTTATGCTTGTGTACCAATCAATTTAAATGACAACGTAATACTTGTCCAGGAGAAAAGGTCACTACTTGTCACAATCACAGCCCCCTCTTTAAATGCAATTTTGCTCAAACCAACTTCGTAACTAACCCGTATGAGCGATAACACACTCTTTACAGCAAAACTCTTGACATTTCCCTCCAGTTTTATTCAACGAAAAATAGAATTGTACTTAACTGAACAATTTTTTGCCATTCAACTCTTTTGGAACACTTACATATACACTCGAGTTAGAAGGTAATTCTCAAACAATTCCCTAACAATCTCTTATTGGGATTTATCTACTTTCTGAGACTAGTGTAGCTGTGTACTTGTTTAGTGTTATCGTTGGAGCGGTTGCCCAACGATTCCTTTACAAAGGAAATTATACTTGTCTTATCGCTTTTAATCAATAGACAGAAGTTCTAGTAACATGAGCGATCAGCCACGGGTCAGGTATTATCATGTAGCCACAAACCATCGGCGATTTGCGGGATTTGAACCTGAGACATTGTTAATCACTGGACCAGCCACGCACCATTCAAGGCAAGAATAAGTTGTATCATATTTACGTTATGGAATCGTGGGATTGTAGGTTTACAGTTGATGACATACATGTTTTCACCGTAACAAACACAGCGATTGGCGGCATTGGCGCCTTGTGGCTTGTTTCGAGTGTAATCCAAGATAAGCAAGTAATTGGACTGACTCACTCCCAATTGGGCTGTAATTGACGTTTCGGCGCACCACCCTCTTCACCTTAATTGGATCATTTACTACCGCATTCAATGTTCATGGTCATATACATTCCCAAGAGTTACATAAGAAATCCCAGAGTTACGAAAAACATCCACTCAAATTTTGTTTTCCCAAGAAAAGTCAACTTTGCTTAAGAAATTGATGAACTTCTCAAGCTATTTTAAGATCATATGTATTGTTGCTTATATCTTGAGATTTACAAATAACACAAGAAAACCTGAAGAAGAAAGAGAAAAGGGGTCTTTAAACAGCAGTGAAATTGAGAAGTCTACAAAAACAATTGTCAAACTTATCCAGGAAGAATGTTTTCAGGATGAAATAAAGCAACTGAAAAAACATGGACATGTCAAAAACAAGAGTAAACTGAAAAATCTATTCCCATTTTTGGACGAGGAGGGTCTCTTGCGAGTTGGAGGCAGATTGGCAAATGCAAATATACCGTTTGACATGAAACATCAATTGTTATTGCCAGGAAAGCATCATTTTTCAAAACTTCTGATTAGAAATGAACATATCAGACATCTACATGCTGGCACTCAATTGGTTCAGAATGTAATACGACAAAAATATTGGATTATTAACATCAAGAATGAAATAAAGTCAGTTATTCGGAGTTGTACAACATGTATCAGGTACAAATCGTCAACAGCTTCCAATATAATGGGTAATTTACCAATCTCCAGAGTCAATGTTGGAAGAGCCTTTAGTAAAACAGGAATAGACTTTGCCGGTCCTATTACTACAAAAAGGATGGGAGGAAGAGTAAAAGTATTCTTAAAGAGTTATGTTGCACTATTTGTTTGTTTGATTACCAAAGCTGTCCACATTGAATTAGTTTCCGATTTAACTTCAGATGCCTTTTTGAGCGCTTTCAAAAGATTTGTTGGTCGAAGAGGATTTCCTAACGACATGTATTCTGACAACGCAACCAATTTTAAAGGTGCCTATAACCAACTACACCGTGAAATTGTCAAGTTCGATTCAATTTCGAGATTTTCTCAAGAACGAAGTATCAACTGGCACTTCATTTTTTCCATCATCACCACACTTTGGTGGATTGTGGGAGTCAGCAATTAAATCTATGAAGATTCACCTAACTCGAGTAATGGGCGATCAAGTGTTAAACTTCGAAGAACTCTCCACTTTACTGGTTGAAATCAAAGCTTGCCTTAATTCAAGACCATTATCCCCTATGTCTAATGACCCAAGAGACTTAAATGTTATTACACCTGGGCATTTTCTTATTTTTGCTCCTTTAACCTCAGTTCCTAACCGAGATTTGACTGGTGATAAAATTAATCACGTAAAAAGATGGACACTTGTAACACAAATGAATCAACATTTCTGGAAGAGGTGGTCTCTAGAATATTTAAATAACTTACAACAAAGAAGCAAATGGACGGAGGTAACAAAGAATTTAAAGGTCGGAGATCTAGTCATCATCAAGGAAGAAAATATTCCTCCATGTAAGTGGCACACTGCCAGAGTAGAAGAAGTACATCCAGGAACTGATGGAATAGTACGTGTGGTCACCTTAAAAACGACAAGTGGAATAATCAAACGATCCATCTCAAAACTGATTGTCATTCCAACGGACTGATCTTGAGATACAGGGTATCTCAAGGGGCGGAGAATGGTTAGACTTTACCATAATTTCTTTATTTAAGTCATATGTTTTCTAATTATTAAAATGTTAGCGTTTACTTTCAAAAATGTAAATAAATATTGAGTTGAGTGAGTAAATGAATGAGAAAACCATGTCCACTTTTCTGAGTAAATATCTATAATTTCTTTAGATTGGTCAAGTCCACCACAATTTATTATGTCATCATAGATCTACACTCATGTCGCACCCAAAATTTGACATTCTTGGATTCTATCTAGTACTTGAAAACCTCAAAGTTCTATTTTATTAGAAGAAAAAACACCAGCGACAATTTGTGGTATTTTAATAACATTTGAAAATCTGATCTTGTTTCAGATGTCTACCTTTTAGTTAATTAATATTAGACATCTATAGTCTAATTCTAATTTTTGGAATTGAATAAAGTTTTAAAACCAACAGGCATCGTAGTAGGGTGCGTATTTCTGCTGTATTAGTTTCAGCCTACATCGTGGTCTCGTAACTTGGCTCCTTAGGAAAATGTCTTTGATAAGCAAATATAATATAATATAATTTCATAGTAACATTATGATTGAGGCACGAATTTGATATTTTGGAAATTCATATTTATTTTGAAATTAGAATTTAGTTATATTGTGCCTATTAGCCATAATGTATTATATTAATTATTCCAATCTACTATGAACAACGAAAACTACCAAACCCATAGATAGTTCTTTATAAAGCTTTCTCTGTTATGAGAAACGTTTTCAGACTTTATGACGTTTTTAAACGATTTATAGCATAGAAGAACTGGATTGCGGATTGCTTAGCTGCAGTAATATGGATAAATAACTTATCTGCATTTACAACAACACATGAACAACAAAAACAACAAGGTAGGACTATAATGGGTAGGCCTACTACCCACTGTGGCCGTGACCTTGACAACAGCTGGGATGAGGCCATAGATCTATAATAACAACACTGGATCGCTGACTGAGGTGGCGGAGTAGCGGCTAGAGCGGTCCGGTGGCGATAGTGCTCCCCCCACCACTGTAAGGGGTTTCCCGCCATCGGCAGCGCTTCACGTACACGTGTGTCAGGTGCCAATATGTTGATGGCTCGTCTCTGTTTGTGTATTTACCATCATTTTGGAGCCAGTTGTATGTTTCTATTATGTTGAAATATGGTACAGTTCTGTGCAGCATTTGGTTGTAGTAATCAATTTTCAAAAGGCTGCAGCTTATCGTTTCACAGGTAAGAAAAACTAAACGTTCCGTAGTCTTTAACTTACTTTGCTGTAATATAAAACTAATAGTATTAGGGTTATGTAAATACACTTAGCTAATAAGCCAATAATTTTTTGCATACTTACTGTCCAGTATTAGGCTTAGCCCTTTAAATTATAAGTTTTAGTGTAGGTCGATTTAAACTGTTTAATCGTTAACCAGTACCAACGTAGTTGATTTGAGACTTTATATACCTGTAATTAAACTGTATAAAATCCCAGCAGATCCCCTGTTGGTGAATTATAAACTAGCAAACTAATTAATTGCCATTCATTTGCTTAAACAAATTAATTACTTCATTATGACAATAAAGGTTTTATATATAGTACTATAATTGGACATTTTTTCCAGATTTCCGAAAAATCCTGACCTGAGAAGGAGATGGGCATTAGCTACAAAAAGAAAAGAGTTTACGCCAAACAACACCACCGTACTTTGCTCTAAACATTTTCAAGAAAGTGACTACGAAGTAGGAGGGATTGTTAAAAGATTAAAACCAAATTCAGTTCCTTCTGTGTTCGAGTTCCCCCCAAATTTGCACCTTCAATCAAGTGCACCAAAACACAGAAGAACTTTATTTCGAGCTGAGGTTAGTACCTACCACAAACTAAAACTAATAAACCTATTCTTAGTGTAGACTTGCTTTAAATTAACAAGTCTTAAACATATAAAATAATATACGCTGAAATTGTATTTTTTTCTACAGTTTAAAATTAACTCATTTGGTTTGCAGAGTAATACCTTTTGACGGAATTGATTTTTTACAGGTCTCAAGGAAAACATCAAATACAAATACCGACATCAACGACAACAATGACATACATAACGAGAATAATACACTTACTTCCTTTACCGAAGCACAGAATAAACGAAATACAACAAATGAAACTCCAACAGACTGCTCATCCACCACCAAAAATAAGAAACAGGTAATTGTAATTATTAATTAATTATAATGTATCTATTGACTTCTACTTACATCAAATCTTGTTGTTCCCGGTAAAAAAAGGAAGGTTTATCCGATGTCTGAACGAGAGAATATCTTTTTTCATTATACAGGGTGGTCATTAAATAATGTCACAAACGTCATGGCCCAATAGTAATCATCAATTTGAACAACAAATGTCCGCCTGCCGCTAGCCGCCATTTTGTATTTTTTTACAATTTATATTGGGATTATTCAAGCTACGGAAACCAAAGTTTGGACATTCATTTGTTTCTGTCAAGAGGCCATTACAAACAAATTATAATGTAATTACCTAACAAAATGGTGACCGTTTAAAATCTTTAAACAAATATGGCTGATTTTATGACACTAAATTACCATATAACTAACTCTTCATTTACAAGTTTGTACTTTGTTCAGGCACATACCATTAGTAATTACTAATTTCATTCGTGTTTAGGTTTCATCACCGACGAAAATTCTTCTCAGAAGAAAAGTTAAAATCCTTCAACAGAAGCTGAAACGTCGGGATAAAAAAATACGGACAATGAATGACATGATCACAATATTTAAAAAAAAACTTAACGCGCCAGAAAAGCTAATAAATCTGTTAGAGGATAATTTTAGTGGATTTCCATTAGAACTTATTGTATCAACTCTGAACAACAATGAATTAAGTAGAACCAAAAAACATTACACAGAAAAAATGAAAGAGTTTGCCTTAACCCTGTATTTTTACTCGCCGAAGGCTTTTAAGTATCTAAAGAATATAGGGTTTTGTCTTCCAAATCCTTCAACAATTAGGACCTGGTTATCCAAATTTAACTGTTGTCCAGGGTTATTGGGAGAGGTGTTTGATTATTTGAAAACAAACGTTTCAAATAATCCTAGCCTAAGAAATGTAAGTTTGGTTTTTGATTGTATTAGTTTAAGAAAACAAGTAATATTTGATCATAATGCAGGGAAAAACTTTGGATATGTTGATTTCGGAAACGTAAACATCGAAAATCAGGAGGAATTAGCTACAGAAGCGCTTGTATTCCAAATTGTCTCCCTCCAGAAATCGTTTAAATGTGTTGTAGCATATTTTTGTATCAACTCAATAGACAGTAGTGTTTTATCTCAGTTAATAAAAACTGTTATTTTGAAGCTTAAAGAAGTTGGTGTTACAGTACACAATCTAACGTGTGATGGTCCCTCAAATAATATTAGTGCTCTTAGAAAGCTTGGCTGTGATCTTCCTGAGAAACCCTGGTTTATTTTGCCTACTATGTCCGAAAAAATCTATGTAAGCTTAGATGCTTGCCACATGCTCAAGCTGTGTAGGAACGCCTTAGCAGACATGGGTGAGATTCAGTCTTCAGACGGGATAGTTAGTTTTAAATATATATCCTTGTTAAATGATGTGCAGAAACAAGAAGGTTACACATTTTGTAACAAGCTTACTGATAAACACATTCAATTCAAAAACAGAAAAATGAGTGTGAAAACCGCAGCACAAACGTTGAGCTCGGGAGTTGCAGACGCCATAGAGTTTCTCTGTTCTAAAGATTCTCGATTTTCAGGTAGTGAAGCAACAATTAAGTTTATAAGAACTATCGATAAACTTTTTGATATTTTAAACACCAGGGACCCATATGGGAAAAACTTTAAAGAGCCAATAAAGTCCTCAAATAAATCTTCAAAAGAGAAGTTTTTGCAAGAGGCAAAGATTTTTCTCTCTAATCTGAAAATAAATGGTGTTCCTATTCTAAAACACCCAAGGAAAACGTTTGTGCTGGGGTTTATAACCGACATTAACACTGTAATGGCCCTAACCACGATACTACTTGAAAATGAAGGTTTTAAGTACTTGTTGACATATAAGTTGTCCCAAGATCATTTGGAACTGTTTTTTTCTTGCATTAGAGCTATGGGAGGACGAAATAACAACCCTAATGTGTTACAGTTTAAATGGGCCTTAAGAAAACTAATGTTTAGGAACAGCGTTCGAAGCAGTGACGGCTCAAACTGCATTGAGTTTGATCCGCACGTTCAAGCGTCTGTTTTAAGTAACACAAATGCAAATAACACAGTAATGTTTCACCCCACACTGTAAATAAAACATGTGATTGGAGTTTCTTCCATTTGTTTTGATTTTCTGTTTATATTTCGTTGTTATTTCGTCACCAGCATGGCAATGCATAAGATCCATGTAATTTTTTTCAAATTTTTAAACTCATTTTTTGTGCTTATCTTTGAGCCTATTTAAATTTATAAAGGGATTCTGCACAACTACAGGAAAATAGCATTCTAACGGTATGCGTAGATTTTCCCTACGATGCACACGAGCTGAGAAAAAAGGTTTTAAAGAAACATGCTTGCCTATTAATATATAGATTGGATAAAGTAAGACAGAGGACGGAATAAACAGATGACTATAAGGGGCTAGCGAGCGTTCAGCCGTGAAAGACCGATTTTTGACCGTGAGTGCAGTTCCATATGGCTTAGGCGGGCTACCCTTCCAACCCTTGTAAATTCCTTTGACCATGAGTGCAGTTCGACCACTGGACATTACTCGTACTTTATTTAATACACGTTTTAGTGTCTGTCCCAATAAATACAACAATAAAAAACCTAACCTAACCTAACCTTTACAAAAGAAGCTTCGTTATAATAAGAAAAAAACCTATCATGTTATCGTAAATACTATGCTAGAATTTTCTGTGCACATATATATGTGTATTTTTTACAATGTCAGTAGTAAGTTTATTTTTTGACGTTTAGATTAATTTAATCAAAACTTTTCAATATATTTCAACTAATTTAATAAGTTTTAATCAATTCAATCATGGTGTTGCACAATGTGATATAGGCTAATTAAAAACTGACCGTGAGTGCAGTTCCAGTACCTCCAGAAAGGCTCAAAGTGACCGTGAGTGCAGTTCCGTAGTTGGATTAGGACCAGGGACTGACCGTGAGTGCAGTTCCAGCCCTCCCGCCTGAAGATATAGGTTCTGGTGGAGTATTTGTAAAACAAAAAAAGGAGTGTAGAATAAGGGCGCTACGCTCGCTCCATTTAATAATTACGACGATATCCTACTAAGGTTATGCAGTTGACTTACATATAACCAAAGAACAATTATACAACGTTGTAACTGTGACCTAAATGTAATTGTAAGTTTTGAAGTCCTCAGTTTATACCACCTTAACTGTAGCCGCGTGAGACAGCCAGTAATCAATTTGTCGAGGACAAATGAATCGCTATTTGGATTTACATTTAGGGATGGAAAGTTAAATGGAAATGTCTAACATTTATCACTCGACTTCTAATGTACATTGTATTAAAATGTGACCTCGCGGTAGATACGGCTCCTTTCGTTACCCCACATCACACATTGCCTTGTTTCACATCTATTCTTGGTAAAGATATCTTGACCTTACATTTGTGTCATGTGACCATTACGATAGGCAGCCGTGATCAGTCTGGTCAACTTAGTCTGTATACAAATGTAATTTCTCCCTTCATGACCAAAAACTTTACTAATTAGTAATTAAATATCAGTTGTGTACAGCTGTCAAAGACAATTAGTTAGCGTTATTGAACGAGTAGTTGAATAACTACAGTACTTCAAAATACCATAAAAATAGAAAGCATTTTATAATGATATAATTTAATAGATTTAGGATTGTTTGTACCTCACAGTTATACTGTACTAATAAACTGCTTGTGTCGTAGTAAAAGGTGTAATACTGAGCTCAAGCACATATACCATCTAATACTTTTTTACAACATGAAATTAATAATAAGCCTCATTTTCGAAACTGTTTCCAGCTATTTTAACCTTCAAATTCGATGCAAAGGAGCCTTGGACCGTCCGCCGTGTAAGGCCTTCGACTGAAGCTTCCGCTGCCTGGTCAGCCTTTCGCTGCTTCGCTCAGATGCAGATGTAGAAGATACACTACTGCTGGAGGGATTATCATTATTGATAAACTACTACTATGCTGTTGTTCATGGTGGTACAGCAATCAGCAATTTGTTAATTTAGAATGAAATGGTTTATATTACCTGTCCGTCAGTGATCCTATTGTTGTCGTAGGCGACCGGTTTCAGGATTAAAATCCCATCATCAGGCTATTAAAAAATGTCATGTCACTCAAATCGAGGTCATCGGTAAACACAAAAACACACACATACAACACGAAACACGAAAATACGGATTAACATTGCTACTGGCCAGTACAGGACACTATGACGGGGCACGGGTAGTTGCGTGGTCATGAACTACACCGTATTTCTGCAAGTTTATTTCGTTTTTCATTTTAATGTCCCCAGAGGCCAAAAACACCAATCGTTCAAATGTGTATAAATGTATATATATATATTTTCGTACGAATATAAAATTCTTATTTGGGAATTTTTAATTTAATTTTTTTTAATTTTCTCCTTTACTAATAACGGTACAAAAAAACTTTGGTATACTAAATGATTTATTTTTTAAGCACTTGAAAAAAGTCTAAAGATAAATTGAGAAATTTTGTGTTTTGAGGGCCAAAAATGAGAAAACCAATTTTTACTCCCATAAAACCCCCCGTAAATCCCGTTCCCGTGGTCCGATCATGTTGGTTCGCGAACTCATTCAAGATTATTCCGCATTACACCTTTAAACCAAATTTCATCAAAATTGGACAAAATTACTCAAGTTATCGTGTTCACGGACATATACATCTATATAAATTTGAACGAATTGTGTTTTTGCCCTCTGGGGACATCAATATGAAAAAGTAAATCGGTCCCGGACCTAGGTCTTACCGTGCCACCTACGGTAATCGCTACTTCCCTATAGGGTAATTCGCTAAAAAACAAAAATAACTTGTTATTCCCTAGGGACAAAAAGAGTTAGACCCGCAACATACGTATTAAAAACGGCTGTTGTTGCTGCAGTTGGACGAAAATGTATTTTAATTGTACGCGAAGAACAAAAATCCGGTGAGAGAGAGACTAGGGAACTGGAACTGGTGGAACGGTTTTCTTATTTGTGGTTCGCGTAACGTAGATTTGTGTATATAATGTACGTGCAAGATTGTAGTTCCTTTTGGTTTTCAAACATGTAGAATTTTACTAGAATGCCATTTGAGTTAAATGACTCCTCAAAATTTAAATTGTATTGTTCATACAGTAATGTTGTTGAGAATACAAAGATTCCGTTCATTATGAAATTACTAATCAAACCTCTCGCAACAAATAACACAAATTTTTGTAACATTGGTTAGATCCTTGATCAATTGTATACCATCGCCAATTTTGGTAATGAAACTCATTATCTTTTAAGATCAAACGACGTAATAAGGTAACATAGTACACTGTGTTTATATGTTATAGTTAGTAAACAAAACTATAAATATTCGTTCAATTGTTCATTTATTTTAAACACGTAATCACAGTCAAGTGTTTCTACGGAAATAGATTACAACAATAGTCAATGATAATAGTCTGTCTGTATTTTGTAAGTGATCGCAACGTAAAGAGTGCTCATAGTCAGTGTAGTCAAGGAAGTGGAACGTGGAGCGTTACAGACCAATTGTATTGTATGCATGCAAGCAGGTGGGTGACTCACTGATAAGGCGACCTTGTCAAGGTCAAACTGGCTGTTATCAAGGTTGGATTGAAAGTTCCCTCTTTCTTCACCAAACTGTTATATTACAATTCCACTACATCTGAGTGCTTTTGTCTTCTATTTAGACGTATATATATTTAAATGACCAATGAGCAAAGCGACAGATTCATAATTTCCTAATGTTTTAAATTTTAACTTTTTATTGCAGTCTCACTGTTACGATTATGCCACGAATACTAGAACAGAAACAGTATGGGTCATAAACATAAACATGTGATGTTACTGGCCCGAATGTAAACACTTTTTATCAATGAATGGAACTGTCTAAACCATATTATGTTAATACTATTATAGGTTAGGGTTCGGGTCAGTTACTTCATTTTGTTTATGTTTATGATCCGTACGACTTTCTGTTATAATATTGTAGTAGTTTTGCTAACAGAAGTCCAACAGTTTTCTTAAAAATGCTTTCTTTTATGAGTTGTCAAAAACACATTTGAGTTGAAAAAAAAACACATGCAGGATCTCAATCAATATAAAACATGCAAAGCAATGCATGCAACTAAAAATAAAGGAAAAATGAAAACTACATGCTGCAAGCCAGTATCTTCACAGCTGTTTATATGTTGAAAATTCAAACAAACAAAAAATAATAGCGCTTAAAAACTTCGTAACTTTTTAATGCTATTGAACATCATAGAATCTAGCTTATGTGTTTAGTTGAAACAGCTATAAAATTCTTTGATTCTTTAAAGATGAATAGCCTACCCAATAAGGTAAACATAGAAAACTCCAGAGCCACTGGAGCGGAGTCCATAAGGATTTTTGAGATAAGAATATGCTTATGCTGTATATTATTGGGGAATGTGAGCTATCATCTATCATCATGCCAAATCAATTTTGAGCCCAATCCGACCAGTAGTTAATACGTGATTGAGATTAAGCCCCAAACAAGCAAAAAACTAAAACAAACAAACTTTCACGTTTTTAATATTAGATATAGTATAATATGAATAGATTAAGTATCATCATAGACAAAACATACTCCCTTAGTACGTTTCTCATCATTATGGATCAGCTGAGGACAATTAATTCTTATATAGTTCCGTTCGGTGCACTGTAGAGGTCGTGTTTTGTTGGAAAAGTATTGAATGCTATATCCGCTAAATATTGCAAGCAGACAACTGCATTGTACACCTAACCTAATCCAGCTATCTCAGCAGGTATTAGTGTGATAGTACTGTAATAATAATGCTACAGTAGATCACCCTGTCTGACACTAGCTGTTTGTTGTGTCAGTCTACAGTATCTCTAGCTGTCTCAGCAGGTTAGTGTGATGGTAATAATAATGCTACAGTAGACCACCCTGTCTGACACTAGCTGTTTGTTGTGTCAGTCTACAGTATCTCTAGCTGTCTCAGCAGGTATTAGTGTGATGGTAATAATAATGCTACAGTAGATCACCCTGTCTGACACTAGCTGTTTGTTGTGTCAGTCTACAGTATCTCTAGCTGTCTCAGCAGGTATTGGTGTGATGGTAATAATAATGCTACAGTAGACCACCCTGTCTTTTGTAAGTGATATGGTCTTTTGTAAGTGTCCCTGTCTGACACTAGCTGTTTGGTGTGTCAGTCTACAGTCTACAGTATCTCTAGCTGTCTCAGCAGGTATTAGTGTGATGGTAATAATGCTACAGTAGACCACCCTGTCTGACACTGGCTGTTTGGTGTGTCAGTCCATACTCTACAGTATACATTATCTCTAGCTATAATTGCTCTTATCTGGCCCGCGCCGTGATAACACCGTTACAGCTTCATTGGGATAATTGGTTTTGGAGCTATTTTTAACAATTCAATAGATATAGATTATTTGTTTGTAGCATGATAGCTCGGTTATTTAACTTTTTGCAGATTTTCTTGTAATGATTTATTTTTTTTTAATCAGTAATTTTCCATGTGTGTCAATTCGTGATCGGTGCGTGGTTGGTAACTGGTTTTGTTGCATCTAATAGAGGAGAGGGTTTGACAGTCCAGACTTTACAGCATGTCTTCGTTAGTGTATATTATTTGGGAATTTCCATAAAAGCTGTCAGGTATTTATACTATAACGAAAATTTATTAGAACTATTTAAATTATTTAGTACCGGTACATATTGCAAGAAAGTGCAGTAGTCTGATCAATTATATTCAAGGGATATGTCATCCGATGAAAGTTAGAAATGTAAATTGGTTTGGACTAGCAAGGAATTTAGCATGCACCTACCTTCCAACAATGGGTACAGTATTTATAACAGCCTGGTTACGGGAGGAAAAAAGTTTTAAAAACAACCCCAGTAGGCTCGCTACTCAATAAATTAGGCGTTACATCTTTTAAAGAGTTTGGGAGTATGTTTTATCTATGGTTTGACCATCGATGTGGTTAAAAATGGTCCCATTTGGACTATAGATGTGCGTTGCCATTACGGAGGCATTGGGAGATCAAATAAGGAGGCCTTAACACACCCCCGCAATCCCCGCTTTGCGGGGGGCCGAGGTCCAGGGGGCACAGAGGTCCAACTGTTGATTCGCGGACCGAGGAGCGCACAATACTTGCTCTAATGGGAGGTCATAAATAAAATCCGTAGGGGTAGGACCAAGGAGCGCAGAGGTACCTTGCGCGCCTCGGTCCTACCCATGCAAGGAACTAATCCCCTAATTATACGGATTAAAAGAGACAATGGCTGGGTCAACCCTGCAAGTAAATCCCATTAGTCGCGCCTCATTGAATACACTTCTTTAAAATGAAAATGTAAGGAGTAATTTTGAAACTATAAATATGTTAACAGAGACAATGCAAGATACTGGATTATGCATTCGAAGTAGTTATCTTAAAAACAGTTGGGTTTTGTCCTACGTTAATAAGCCCATTTTCAATGCAGACACACTGCATATTTTTCTAAGTGCAGTTTAATACAAATTAAATATTTATCAAAATAATAGTACGGAACTAAATTTGCATTATTCTATTATAATTAAAATCATATTAGATTATTTGAGACAGCTAAACTTTCTCTCTGCGTTTCAGAACTATCAAATGTTTACATTATTTTGTTTTGCAGGTATAGTTTATACAATTTTGAAATAGCTTTGAAGGCATGACGACTATTAATTGCTTATAGCATGCATGATTCTACGTGATTTGTTTTGATCATCGACCCGTGATTCAACCTTCGTCTCCGTCCTGTGGAAACACCTGACATTTTCTCTCGTGATAGAGGTTAGGATATTGAATGACTTAATATTACCGGACGTTCGTACTATTTAGGAGCAACGCATACCATTCTTGAAACTAATTCTTAAGAACAACATTATATGTTGTGCATTTCCGGATTAGGTGGGTGAGCCTACTGCTGAAAGTGATATTTGCCAAATGACAATGTGCCTGGGCTAAATTTACTTCAAAAAGTAGTGTTGTTTACATAGGCTTTGTTTAAATTTAA